AAGAAATCTGAACTTAAGAGGAAATTATGCAAGACTGAACTTTGTGCACTTAATATTGAGGGAAAAGCCTAAATCAGATAGACGAATATCTGCAGCCACACCTCAGTTTTGTCTTGGTTTTCCCCCATCCACATTGACACAGAGAAGCAGTATTTTAAAACCAAAATGGCCTCGTCAGCGTTTCCAAAATGCTTCGTTTTCGGGGCTTAAAAACTCAGGGGTAGTGTGGACGGAAGGCAAAATTTGTGTGTTTTAAAGTGAAAACATATTAGTGTGAACGGGGCCTAAAACTATATGAAAAAGGAGAAAGAAAATCAGTTTCCTTTTGAAGATTGGTGTTTAATTTTGTTTAAAACATTTTCAAAGAGTGTGCATGAGCTAAACAGGATGTTTAACTGCTGCTTTAGATGGTTATATGTGCACACAGAAGTTGCTGATTAAGACTAATTGTGCAGCACAAAGTGTTGGGTAAATGAACAAACCGGTACGCTTGAATGCACACTCACACACACATAAGTAAAGTACTTCAGTAGCATTTTTTGAGCTAATGAGAGACAGATTTCCAATTAGCTCCTCATCTCCTCCCTTAGCACTGGAAAAAGGCCAAAACACACAGGCACATTCATACATATATCATGGATTCCCCTCTTACTTTGTTCTTTTAAAAAAAGTCCAAAAGCGGAAAGAAATGGAGTTAATTTGCAGTCGTTCACAAGAAAATTGTTTCTAAACAGCTAGAGTGTTTTCTTGATAAGCGAGTGGCTGGCAAGAACTTGAATGTGCTGAAATTATATTAATTTGCTGCTAGAAGAATTTGATGACGTAACTGGGAAGCGAAGCGAGTCCTTATTTTGTTGTTTGTGTGTGCGTCTGATTGGGTGTATAGTGTGTGTGACACATTAAGGGAATAAAATATAACCTGGAATCTCTGCCTCAATGTGATAATTGTCCCAATGATTAGCTACTTTATTCTGTGTCTGTCGCTTTCTCTCTATTCCCAGCAGACTCCACTTCTCTTTTCTTCCCTCAAGGCAGAGGAAGGGAGGGGAGGGGTGTCACTTTTACATTTTTCTCAGTCCAAATTATAGCTGTGAACCATGCAGATAGGAACAGAATTATACATCTGAAACCAGCAGTAAGTCTGTGCGTGAGCGCGTATGTGTAGTTGTGTCTAGAAGTAATTAAATTTACATAATTGTGTCAACAGAATAAATCAGTGAAGCTCTTGTTCCACCAAATGTTTCTTCCAGAGAAAACGCAGCGGTAGCTTTAGCGTTCAGTAAACTTTGCATTTTGCTGATATAAATATCAGAGTGCTGAGGGGTGGAGAACGCAGACAGAGTTATTTTTTTTCTTCTAATTTTACAGTCCTTCAATTATATTTCGCATTCAGTCTGAGAGAAGTCCGACCTAAGACACAAATGGCACATTATTATGGGAACGAGAGAGATATGTGTGTGTGTGTGTGTGTGTGTGTGTGTGTGTGTGTGTGTGTGTGTGTGTTACTACTGAGAGTCTGGTAAGAGGTTTAAAGGGTGACTTAGTGGTGGTGGACGCTCCCATATGTCCGCTACAGAGAGTGTGTTTGCCCAAGGCCCATATGTCTTTATGAGAGTGCTTAAGATAATCTTTGAGTTCAATGATTAATTCATCCACACAACTTATGTATATGTAGTTACTGTGCTGATTTGTAATGATATGTAGGATTGAGATATGCAGACATGTCTCTTGTAAAACATTCACCATCAGTTACATCCAATTCCAATATTTTCTTCCTATAAACTTAACACACTTTATTATATATTTGCTTCATATTTGAGAGGATCTCTGAACCTGTGACTTAGTAAAACACACAAGCTTGTGCACAGGTGCATACACACATTCTGTGAGCAAATAAACATTAACTAGTTAAAACAACATGCAGCAACTGTGGTAAAACAGACCAGGCCGGTTCGAGCATCTGCTGTGCCGTGGAGCTCAAAGCTGCTTCAACGAGTAAAACAATCCACACACAGAGGGGCTCCGGCGACTGAGCTGAAGTTTTCTTCTCGCAGGACAAGAAGCTCAGATGTTGTTGGTTTTTAAGATCTCGTTAAGTGGTTAATCTCTGATATTAATATTGATTATTTTTGTATTATTATTTATTAACTCAATTATTTTTATATACTCCCATGTGCTTGCATGTCGCAAACAAATAGGCTACATATTTTATTCAGAGTTTGTTTTAAACTTGCAAATTGTAAATAGATAAATAAAGGAGAACTTTTAATATAATATATAAATTAGGGAGCAGTGTTTGAAAATTTTAGGTTACGAAAAGTTTAGTTTAACTATTTTAGTTTATAAGTTTTTGAAATATAGTTTAAGTTGGCCTACAGGCTTAAATATCTTCAAATTTGATTTATTTGATTTTTAAGTCGTACATAACATTTATGTTTGAGTGTAAATAAACAAAATACTTGTTAATCATTAATTATGTAGTAATTACATAATTTTTTTAAAGTTTTACCCAGACAGATGACTGTTTTTCCACGTCCTCCTTCTTTACTCAGTTTACGCATGAGAACAGTAAAAATGGAAAAACAAAAACAACATAAATTTATGCTCATTCGCAATTTACGGTGCGGTTTTACATTTAAAGGCACAATTTATGTTTACGCGTCGCCCCTCGGGTTCTCACATGCTAAAGTTTTCGAGTTTTTCGTACATTTTTTTACAAGCCCAGCCGAGAGACTCCTTAATTAAAATATTCCCCCCGAGATGAAAAACACATGTGCACTATTCCTGTCCCCCTGTTTACGCTCATAACTCAGCGGCTGTGTCTCAAACCCTTTGGAGCTGCCAAGCAAGAAGTCCCCAAAATGCAATTTGGATGCCCCAAATATGTTGTCAGGGTAGGCAGTTCATTAGGTTTTGAGACAGAGCCAGTGTCCCACACAAAAGAACAAAACAAACCCATCACATTAATCAACTAACAAGTCTAAATAATAATAACTCTTTTGGATCATATATAAATCACTAAGCTTGGCTACATATGAGAGTACACCTACATAACTTTTTTTAGCAAAAGCAACTCAAACAAAAAACATTCTTTATGATTCTGTTGAGTCAAGCTTGTGGCGTCTCCAGCCATTATTCAGGTTAAGTAAACATGTTGGACGCTCCCTTGAACGTTTTATGAGCAGCAATCAGGGAGATTTTATGAGCGTCTAGGAAACTCCTGCTTAAAAACCTATTAACTCTCTCGACACAACTCTGATTTGATCAATATGACAGACGCGAAGAGCCACCGGGCCGCCGGGATTAGGGCAGGCCGGTGGCGGAAAGTCAGCTCGTCTCTCATGGGAAAAGAGGAAAAGATGGACTAGCCGAGAATAATGAGAGAAAGAGTTTTCCTGCTAACCACAACAACACTAGACAGTAGCAGATTTATTTATTTCTCAATTCTTTTTAGAAGTCTCTAATGAAGGCCCGCGTCAAGGCCACACGCTACATTTATATTACGGAGAAGCCAAGACATTTACATTTCGATGTTTCCAATAAACATTTAACGAAGTTTAAGTAGCATAGCATTGCGGTCGATTTGACTAAGGGTTTTGCGAGTCGACGAGCAGCAGCGGTGGAGTCTCCTATATGACAGCTGTGCGTTATGTGTGATATATCCCGGGAGAGCGCGCGCCTGCACGGTCACTTCAGACTCGAGCTTCATGTCATCACGCCGGACAGCGAGTAACGGCACTTTCAGGTCAACTACTCAAACTGTGTGTCAATTTCACAAGCGCTCCAAGTCAAATCTAAGACCGTAGGCTACATTTCTAGAGGACTTTAAACGCGAGCTCGTGCACTTACTTGGGATTTTGCGAATTCCACACGACCGACTCCAGTGATTTGGCTGCGGGTAACGCGTATCTGCACATGGCTGTCAGAATCCAGAGGTAATATTTCCACGAGCCGTCACTTCCAGCCATCGTATACGGTTCTCGGAGAGACACAAAGACAGCAAGAAGATAAGATCCTTTCGGTCGACCGTACTCCGGGTTGCCGAACCACATGCAACAGAGCGGGTTATGCGTCCAGGCGAAGGGGCTCCATGGGGCTCAACTTCCAAATCCAATGTTTCAAGCGTTGCCTGGATGATATAAAAAGGTGTCGCACGTTTCACAAGTGGCTTCTGGGCCAACGCTTCTCTTATAACCAAAATCGCTGCTACCTTGCACTCAGGTAGACACCAACGCGTGACTGTTTTATTGTACTCATCTATTAGTTGAGCTATAGCCTTACAAAAGGTCAAATCACGCCAGATAGGGGGTGGGTGACATGCACACAGGTATAAGAACCATCAATCCCGTGTTGGGGTTCGGGTTGGTGCTCAGATCCGGTCCTGATCATGTGTCAGATTCAAAATTAGACTCCTTTCAGATTTGATCCCAGATCATTACGGTGCGTATATGCAACAGTTTTGTTTTGTTTGTTTGTTTGTTTTTTTTGTCCGAAATTTACCGACCTATATCCATGTTCAAAGTAGCCAGGAACAAATCTCAACTGTCAGTCACAGGACTGCCAAAAATATCTGTCCAGTTCCATTGGGATTTTCTTTCCAAAAGAAGATGTAAAAAGTAAACTCCCGAGTTGTGCGGCTTCTTCTATTGTATGATCTGGCGTTTTCAGTCCATGCTGATAGAAGGGGTATCAGCTACTGTCCGCTCCAGGCTCGCGTGATGAAAGGTGCACACACACAGTTTCGTCTCAAGCACATAAACAGATGGGAAACTCCAGCAGTTCGGTGCTTCCTCTGCGAGTTAAATGACGCGTCTTTTAGCCTTGGATCTTGTTTAGAGTTTTTCGGAGCTCAACCGTGGATCCGGTGCGTCCGCAGTCAGTCCCGCACACCGTTCACAACGCAGTGGCTTGTGATCCATCACATCCACTCCCACCGAGCCGCTAAGCCCCGCCCCAATTCCAAAATCAACCAATCAACGCGCACGTTTAGTGCGACGTCGCAACACGGTGTCCCTGCCTGTACATCCAGTTTCAGAGTTGATCTGCGAGATTGATGTACAAAACATATAGCGAGTCTTGACATTTTTAAAGGTAAGTTCCTTAAAAGTGTTTGAGTTTAAAATACCAACTGTCTTCTTTCTGCAGATCAACTGTCTGTTTTTGTTAAGATGGCTGTAACTATGGTTACTCCAGTAAACCACGTTGGTTCAAGTATATCGCTTTAGTTTGCATGTTTTCGCCAGGATATGTGCTTCTGGACTCATTTATTATATATAAGTCTATTTAATATTCACAGCAGTTCACGGCTTACAGCTGAAAAACACAGGTCTCTACACTATAAGCGTTTAATAACAGATTTAGAATCATTATCCCAAAGACATCCAAGAGAGTGACACTAATGATATTTGATGGTCAAACAAAGATAACGCTAATCCTTTCAGTAGCCAATACCGCCCCCTATCGGCGTTAAAAATCTGTTATTAAATGTTAAACCAAATGATTTAGTTTTAGGGGCTTTTATGTCCATTAAAACATTATTAGAATAATAATAAACGTGTAATAAAATATGAAGTGACTCTGAAAGAAGCTGGTTTATATATTTTTTATCCCCTCTTATCTACAGGCAAACTGAATTCAAGTAACGTTTATGACTAATCTTTGCGTCCACTTCCTTTTATAAAATGTAATTCTGTATGACATATGGTGTCTTGTCAGTCTGCTCTTCAACCAGTCAGTTTGTGTGTGTGTGTGTGCGTGTGTGTGTGTGTGTGTGTGTGTGTGTGTGTGTGTGTGTGTGTGTGTGTGTGTGTGTGTGTGTGTGTGTGTGTGTGTGTGTGGTTCTTCAGAAAGCCATATGTCTTGAGGAGGCTTGGTCCTCCGGCGTGTGTTTAGATAACATGAGTGTGGTGGAGCTTTTACTCTTTGAGCTCTTGTGTGTGTGAAATGTCAGTTTATTCATTACCCACATTTAGATCAGGTCTGAAAGGCCAGCCACCCATTTAAAAGTGATATATACGCAGTCATGTTATCTGTTTATGGCTGCACGTCATCAGCTCTGGCTCTGAATTTTCAGTAATAGGCAGGTTTTGGTGTTTTCTCTTCATGCTACAGTTTTCTGTGGAATGTTTACATGTCCTTTTGCATAAGGACAAATGTCTGACCTTTTCCTATTTTGCTCAGAGCTAAATATAGCCCTCACCTTAACCTGATTATTACAAAGACATTTCAGCTTGTCCCTTTTTTCCTTTTTTTTCTATTTTTTTTAAACATGATTTTTGTGTATCTGAGATGATCAAATGTTTAGTACTGCTAAACCCGAGCTGCAAATGTTTGTTGCAACTAGCTCAGAGAAAACATAACCACACAAACTCCCAAGAAGAAATTACCGGAGTGCATTTGTCAGCAGTTATTCACTAAAATGGCCACACTGCGGTCTACACACAGTTACTAATAAACCTAAAGCACACATCGACGCCCTCACCCACACATAAGCACGTTGAATTTGTGTAAAACATTTATAAAAACACAGACATGCCTACACAAATAGCATATAAACTACAATTAAAATGTATATTTGTAAAATATTTGTAACAATGTATCACAATGATTATATAAAAAAACGCTAGCCATATTGTAAGTTATTGCTACAACACTTAAATAAATAAATAAATTTCAAATGAGTATTTATTATTTTTTAGCAGAATAGAAGATGTGAAATTATATATAGAGAGAGAGATTTTTGATGTGTCATTCATTCCACCAATGGCAAATTTGAATTTGAGTAATGCTTATTTGGTGCTTAAGAAACTATTTTATTGTTATAAATGTTGACAACAGCTATGCTGCTTTTTGTAGTTGTTGTGGAAATAAGGTTTATGTTTAAATTTACCTAATTTACTTGAAATAGAAATATTGTTGACATTATAATGATCTTATTATCATTCATAAAGCTACATTCACACTAATACATTTACATGACTACATTTGTACATTTAAGTGTACATTGAAAGTTGAGTACTTTAACTAAAGCTTATTATTGTTACCTATTAGCTCATTACTATACCTAGATATAAACTATATTTACTTTGTTTTTTAAACCAATATGTTCGATTAATTAAATATCATCTTTTTGGTAAATTACATGCATAGATATAAGTATTAGGTATGGGCTGGTATAAGATTCTGACGGTATGATAACCTTGGATAAAAACATCACGGTTTCATGGTATTGTGATTATTGCTCTAAAATATGTCCTTTTTAAATGTTTAGGAAAAAAATACTAAAACCTTTTTCCCATTTGAACACAATATATTTTATTTAGAGAAATATTTATAATATTTTGGAGCAGTAAACATGTCAGGCTAAATAACTAAAATCAATCATTGACTTCTGCTGTCTTCATTAGTTTAAAAAACACACATTTCTTTGCCATTTAAAACAACATATTTGGAGATCTTTTCTGTTGCAGATAATAGTGTCCTAAAAAAACTAACTTTTTAAAAAATCTTACAAATACAATAGGAACAATGTAAAATAAAATTTTGCGGTTTTAAAACATTGCCTTTTCCAAACCACAGTATACCTTGAGAACCAACTTTATTAGTTTGGACACTGCATGGTGTCTGTGAAGGATTCCAAGGGTTTACATACGATTTCATTTAATACAGATAGGATATTTAAAATATATAAAAACAGTAAAAGTATTACTCACAAAGTATGCAATTATGACCTGAAGTGAACACCCACCATTTGCATTGTGATGAGTTCTAGTGGGCTATCAGTTTGTCCTAAGAGAAGTTTTGCCTTTGCTTAGACACAGTCATGCTTGCTTGGTTAATATCTACTTGGTTACATTTAAAAAAAAAAAAGGATCTTTCTATTTTGTTCTCCATTGTCAAGTGGTTCCGTTATAAATGCATTCAAGCAAAAAAAAAAAAAATCTGCATTGTTGCTTTTTTTCCTTTTTTAATAATACAAATGAAGCTTTTTTTTTCAGTCATTTACAACATGATTTGTGGATACTTTATAACTATTCGTCAAGAGTTAAAAACTTTTACGTTTCAAGTTTTTGGGGTTATTAGAGATCCCCTGAAGTAATGTGTTAATTCTAATAATAATCATTTGTATTATTCAATGAATAAACTGTTAACAAAATAATGACTTGTCATTAACCAGCCCAGTTTTCACTGATTGTGTGCAGTTTAACAGAATGCACTCGCACAATTCACTCAAAGCAATGTGGGTCATAGAAAAAAGGTGGATACCATACACCCAGTTTTCTTGTGCACACATGCTTAAAGTTTAGGCATTTGTTACCAGACGGAAAAAAAAGTTGAGACAAATCGACTGGGTGGTGACAGTGGCTTAAAGTGATTCTGCCCTAATGAGCTCTTCCGTTTCCTTCTCATTTGTTCCTAGTTTTGCTAATTGGCATCATTGTTTGTTAAGCTAAGTTAGCATTCATGTCTGCAAAGCATGTGTAAAAAAGCGCATGTGTTTGTGCATGTATGTGTGGGCGAAGACCTTTACATTGTGTAATGATGTTGAATTTGGTTTTGGTCCAAAATACAGTAGATTAACTGTGTTTTGGGATAGTTTCACAGGAGAAGGTATGTGTGTGTATGGTGCACAGTACACCTTGTATTCCTTACATTGTGGGGACCAAATGTCCTTACGTGTATAGCAATACCAAATACTGTCCAAAATACAGTAGATTAACTGTCCTCTGGGATAGTTTCTCTGTAGAAGGTGTGTGTGTGTTTGCGCGCACATCTTGTATTCCTTACATTGTGGGAACCAAATGTCCCCATGTGTATAGCAATACCAAATACTGTCCAAAAACAATACATTAACTGTGCTTTTAAATTGTTTTGCTGGAGGTGTGTGTGCGTGCAATACTTGTATTCCTTACATTGTGGGGACCAAATGTCCCTGTTTGTAGCAATACCAAATACTGTCCAAAAACAGCAGATTAAATGTGCTTTTGGATAGTTTAGCTGAAAAAGGTGTGTGTGTATGCACCTTGTATTCATTACATTGGTTTACCAAATGTCCCATGTTTAGCAATACCGGTACATTTTGACCTTGTTGGACATTTTTTGCTCCTCATGAGGAAAATGGCTTATAACATAATAATAAAGTATTTTGAAAATGTCAAAATGCAAATTTTTTGTGGGGGTTGGGTTTCGGGGTAGGGTTGTGGTAGAGGGACAAAATTTACAACTTGTACAGTATAAAAATCATTACATCTATAGGTCCTTACAAAGATTGCTATGTGTGTATGTGTGTGTGTAACGAGGAGGTGGAATGACGGTAATGAAGGAACTCAGGAGGGTGTTGATGGAATATTCAAGCAGATAATAGAGCAATTTCACACACACCCCCCGTCCCAGCGCACACACTTCACTCTCTCATTCTCTCTCACCCACACTCAGTCAGTAGGGAATCATGAATGACAATCCAGCACTGCCCCACCCAGAAAGCCCCCGATAGGCCCTGCTCAGCACACTGAGAACACAGCATTACAACAAAAACACTAGCACAGACCAAAAAAAGAAGCACACCTACACATGCATAGACTGATTAGGGAAAAAAAAGACGACAGGCAAATCCAGACACCTACACACACACATGGACCTGCGTTTCGTGTGCCAGTCCTCTAGGATGAGTGTGTGTATATCTGGGAAAGCAGCCATAGGCAGATGATCTGGTGTGAGGAATGGACTCGGAAAACTTTAGTGTGTCAGTATGCGTGAATAAGTGTGTGCGTGCGTGTCTGAACCGGTAAACTTGGCGTGAAATTGTGGTGGCGACTGTGACGGATCTTCATTTCCACTCTGACAGTGGTGCTCACGCACACACATTACTACCTTTGTTCTTATACAACAGGTTGGAGAAAGAAAAAAAATGTGTGTGCGCAGCTGTGTGTATGTTTGTGCTTGTGTGTGTGTGTATGTGGTTTACGAGACAAATTTGTATAATGACATGGGTATGACGTTGGTATGACAATGTTAAGGTGGTTTATGAGGACATGCATTGTGTCCTTGTAATTCAATTGCTTAAAAAAATCTTAACCGGGTCTTTTGACATT